TGTTTGTAAAGCTAGATGGCTCAGTTATGACAGCAGTGTGTGTAAACACACAGGATTTCCTAGTCTGACTGACAAACTGTGGGAGGCAGGTGGGAAAAAAAAACACACACCAAAAACCTGCATGTTCGTGCTGAAATGACATGCTTATCTGAACTTAACCACTGCTCAGGTTTCTTGTGCAGGAGAAACAGGCTTATTCCATTTAATTCAAAGCTACATTACGATCAAATAGGAAAGAAATAGTTGGAGAAACATTACACAAGAGCAAACTGTAAGTCTCAGTTATCTGTGGCAAAGTAAACGTACAGACTTTCTTTTTCTTATCTTTTATCCAGTTCTGAAGCCAGTTGATTTAGGCTCCTGGTTTTGCAATAGCTGCTTAGAGATAGTTTTTATGTGTGTACAGGCCCCCTTCTCATGACTCAGGAAGGGCTACTTAAGAGGCCAAACTAGTGTTTGCATGTAGCACTTCAATAAAAGAGGAATGAGTTGGAGTATCAGGCCTGTTAGCGCTCTTGTTCTGCGTACAGAAAGCTGCAAGGTTGTAAAATCGCAAGCAGCTTTCAATCTTCCGGAGCAGGTTTTCTACAGGAGGGATGACAGGTAAGAGCGAGCAGAGATACTCAGATCCCGTGCCGGAGCAGGGGCCGGGAGGCTCCCGAAGCGCCCAGGTCTCTGTGAACTGCGCTCCCTCGGGCTCCCCACCCCGCGCAGCGCCGCAGCGCCAGCCCCGCAGCAGCAGCGGGGCCCAAGGGGGCCGGCGCGCGGGAAGCAGCGCCGGGAGAGCTCTGCACGCACCGGTGCGCGCGTGAGCCAGGCAAGGCGGGGGGAAGAGGGAACAAGGGATTTTTGCAAGCAAAGGGGCCTGCTAGGCAGCCAATGTTCTTTAAGCAAGTATATTTCCTCCAGGAGCTTATGCATGGATGCATGTTAACTTTTAATTCCCTAAGTGATACACTCATAAGAGTGATCATTTTTTAAGTTAACTCATTTTTCCCCACAATCATCTACTCTTTGTGCCTGTCTAACATTGTGGTTTTGTAGTGTCAATATTTATTCCTACCTAATCTAAAAACACAGGATCGTTTGCCAGATTTTTGTGACCTGTGCAAGGCATAGTCTTATTCTCTTGTGGTTGTAAAATAGCAAAATTATTGCAAATTTTGTTGTTGTTGTTTTCAATTAATAATTTGTGTTTTCTGCTTTGGCTTTTCTGCAGGTTCAGATGAAGAGGCACATGTCTGCAACCACGAATGGAACACACATACAAAAAAAACAAAACTGTCCAATATTAGCAAACATTGCCAGATTTCAACTGGGACAGCAAGCTTAACATAAGTCAACTCATTCTGAGGACTTCAAAAAGAAAACATTCTCCCTAAAGTGCAAAGAATTTATAATTCTACTGATCTGCTTGAAACATAAGCAGCTCAGCTTTCTTCTAACTAAACTAGGATATTCCCCACAAGATAAATCCAAAATTATTGCATTTTTATACCAGGAGTACAAACATCTTAAACCTCTTAAGAACGCTACAAATTATTCTTGTAATAGGGCTTGAAGACATCAACAAAAATTGCACCATTTCCCCCACGGGTGGCTCTTCCCAAAGGACTGTTGGGGTCTGCAGGCCTTTCTCAGTCGGGTCAATGGGATCCTTAGCTCTGGCAGCAGCACACACGGCTCCTCGCTAAAATGCATCACCCTGGCTCGGGAGGCGTCACGCGATACGATGACGAGCTGAGTGTTTTCCTATCTTACAGGCTCTACAACTGCTGTTATTGATTGGGCAGCATCACCGATTCCCTGAACCTCTTAGCTTTCTTAGAGTAGTTTTCCTTGCACAAAGGGACAAAGGGATATTAGCTAATCTGTTGCAAATATCAGCTTGATAAAATAGATGAGAGAAAATAAAAAACAGGTGAGAAAAAAATAGAAAATGAAATAGGTGAGAGGAGAGATAGAGACACCTCATTTGTTATGCTCAACAAATCCTTTGGATCCACAACTCAGCATGCTCTCTCATGACTCAGTTAATCTTTTTACCTAAGTTTTTTAAAAGCTACTACTTCTGCTTTTAGAGCACGACGGCTGCAGTACATAGTCACAACTACCTTCAAAACCCCTGGCTCTAAAAATATATATATTTGTTGGACATAATAAAAGAGATATCTTCAGTATAAATTGACCCAACAAAATACTAATACCAGAATTCACAGTGACAGTTTAAAATGGGGCATACCACCTAGAGCCAAAAGCCTTCATGTAAGCCTATAAATCTCAAAGTCTACTATCTACCTATGAAGTAAGCAATGACAATTAATTAGACAACTAATTTTGAAAATACATTCTGATAAGCCATTCCAGTCCATGTTTCACGCCCTTATTCAGCTGCTGACAGTTCTATAAGCGATTGAAGCTGAACAAGGAAGTCTCTATGGTGTCTTGGTGTCTTCCAACGTCTCAGTGCAGATGGAGACCACGAAATCGGGCTTTGGAAAGCAGTGGAAGGAACAAGTGAAGTTTCTAAAGAATGTTATTTCAAAACCTGACTGAAACTTTGCATCTGATTCATCAATATGGAATGTGAAATATTTAAGAGCTCTCAAAGAATTAGATGTTCATTTCAAAATTTTGTCCAGAGATATTGATTATAGCTAACTTTCAATTGGTAATTTTTACAAAACTCCTAAAAATCTATATTTTACTTACTAATATATACTAAAAGGGTGTAAAAGCATTTACATAGCAAATTAAGAAATTTGGTGCAAGTAAATAAACAGGTGAAAAAGTTTAATGGCTTGTTACCACTATGCATTCAAAGGAACAGAGTTAGCTGAAAGCTGAAAGGCACATAATTTGACTTTATTGACTGGAACTCGATGTAGTCATCGAAGAGTTAATGGTCAAACTTCGTTACTCATACAATCAATAACCTCTGTGATATGAGAAATCTTGCACAACGCTTTCCAGTTAATCATGCGGTGATTAGTGTATTTCTGCACTGCTGCAAAAGGATCTAATCACAGATGTCTGGGCTTGACCCATAGTAACCCCAAAACTGAAAGCTGAGGCTCTGTTCCCGTGTTCATTGCCTGGAGACCAGGGCTGAAGTCCCCTTAGCTTTTTTGCTGGCCAATACAAATTGCAAAACCATGCATGATCACAAAAACTGCAATAACATAATGATACGGGGTACCATTTGCATCAGAAGCCCTTTAATGCATTATTTAATATTTACCTTCTAATTTAAGCTCATAGACTTCAAAATCAGTGCACAGAATTGGAGTTCTTCCTCTGTACAGGCTCACTGGAATAAAGATAGTTTTGACTCTGCCTTTTACAGGTTCAACAAGAGATGTTCCAAGCAGAACCTGCTTTCCTTGTTACTGTTTGCAGCTTCCAGTCTTAATGACCATAAAAAACCCAAACCTTCCCTTTCACACACACCTTTTCCAGAAGTGTTCAAGATTTTTCTACCAGCACTTAATATAAGAAAAAAAAAAAGAGAAGGTTAGTCCAAATACTACATCTTCTAGCATGCCTAGTTGTTTACTGTGAAGTGTGGGAGTCTTGGTTGCATTTTGTAATTAGTTTAGCACACAATAGCATATACTCAGAATCCAAAGAAAGAGGGTCTAATGACACATTCAAAAACCAAAAGGTACTTCTAAATGCCAATCTACGGTCAAAGCTATAATTAGCCAGTAGATGGCTCCATGAACTAGCTTAGTAATCTCGCGGAGGGACAGGGGGATCGTCCTTTGGGAGACTATTAACATAAGTGATGTTTTCCAAGGAATTCTCAAGACTGCTTCATCAAATTAACTTCCCCACATTAAGGATGGGAGAACTCTTGCAGTCACCTGCCAAATTTCTGCTATGACCAGATTTGCCTGTGCATTTAAAACTAAGATAACCATTTAGAAAAGCGTCTCAATATTTATATCGCAGTGGGGAGATTTAAAAAATTTTGCTGCTCTTGCCAAAATAGTATATTCCACCTGCTCACGTGACGGCTCTTACCTCACTCCACGCCAGTCTGCTAGTGCTGCTGGAATACCCCTTTCCGACACACGACAGGACTTTCCCATGGCGGGCTCTGCCTTCCCACCGCCCCCTGGCCTGCTGCTAACACATCCCCCGGCTCCCTTGCGCAGAGGGACAACAGCGCCCTGGAGAAAAACATCTGGAGAGCTGGGACCGCACCGGCTCAGCGTGGGCCAGGCTCCAGTGTGGACAGACCCTGGGTCGGCCCCTGGCACCACTGCAGCAGCTCTTCCAAACTGCGGTCCCCTCCGTGCTACCCGATGCGCTGTGCAGGGCTCCCAGGACCTCAGCTTAGAAAGCACATAGAAACAGAGGGCAACGGAGCGCCCCGGGGAGCTCAGAGGGGATCCTGGCCGAGCACTGCGGACGCAGGCGAGGCTAATGCACCTCCAAGGACGCCAGCGCGCGGGGCTGCCAACTGCCGCGCCTGGCACGAATCCCTCCCCGGTGGCTGCCCCCACAGCTACAGCTCTCTGAGCAGAGGCGGGATGGGGACAAGTTGAGAGGTTCACTGACCCTCCGCCTCCACTTTCCATTTTTCCAGATACTGGCCTTTGTTGGAGAGATCTGAGATAACCATGTGCACCTAAACCCAGATGAGTGGGAGCGGGGGGAGGTGGTTCATGGGCTGAATACAGCCAGGAGGGACAGCGCAGAGAAAACAAAGCTAAAACGTGGCAGATTGGTAACCTGCAGCAAGCAGGGCTGTGCTGGGACCCCCAGCAGCCGCCAGGCAGGCGCCAGAGTGGGGTGATAAATGGACCCTTGGAGCGCGGACGTGAGGAAAGGCGCAGGTCCCCCTCCGGCCAGAAGGCAGAGCCGAAGGAGGACCCTTTGGCTGGGCTCAGCAGCTCCTCCCGTCCCTGATCTCAGGGCTGATAACGGCCAAGGAGGCCCCTTGGGCCACCATCCCACCACACAGCCCCATGGCACAGCCAGGCCTACGGTACCTTCGCCTTCTTAAGAGCCGTGGCAGCGCGCAGGCCAGCGATGCCTGCGGGGGCCAGCCCAGGAGCCAGCATGTCCGTGCTGGCTGCCTCCCGATGCGGGGAACCTTCCCACGTCAGCTGCTGCCAGGCGCCAACCGCCTCAACGGCCCCTCCACGCTGCCGCCATGCACCAACCACTGCTTTGCCCCAACCATCACCCCCAGCAGCGGCCCTGACGGCGCCTTCCACCCTGTCACTTCACACTATGCACCAAAGGGCCACCCCAAAGGTGCCTCACACCTCGCCCTCTTGCACCCCACCCCAATGGCCTCCCACCACCTCAGAGCCTCTCTGGCCTCGCAGCCCTGCCCCAAGCAGCCACTCCAACAGCCACTCCATCACCTGGCACCCCGCTGGCCTCGTACCGCTGCCCAAATGGTCGCCATCACCTTGTACCCCACGCCAAGTGGCCATCCCAATGGGCAAACACAAGCTCGTGGCCTACCCCAAGCGGCCACCATCCATCCCTCTACCCTGTGCTCCACCACCTTGTGCCTCGCACCCCTGCCCCAAGCATCTGCCTGCTACCTCATGCCCCCGCACGGCCCTTAGCACCCTGCGCGACTTCCTGGAGGCTCCATGGGACCACAGTCATGTCAGGGTCTGCGCAAAGGGGCTATGTGTGCCCGCAGAGCTGAGCCTACGAACTGCAGCCATGGACGGGAGAACTGCCAAGGAGGCCGGGGACTTGCTCCCCGGTTCCCTCTTTGCAGTGCGTAAATCCCCACGGTGCCCAGTGCAGGATGGCGGGTACGGATGATGTCCGTACCTAGCACTGCCAGCAACAAGACGAGGGCAGGCAGCGTGCTTCATTCATTTCCATTTCCTTTTAACAACATTGCCCTTGCCTGCCTGCAGTTTTATTGGATTTCCATGCATCAAATTGATTATTTCTGGTTTTCATACTGTTTAGATTTTCAAACTAGCAAATCTTGTCCTCTCACTTTTTTTTTTCCCCTATTAGAAGATTTAGATTAGAAGATTTAGGAAAAAAAAAAAGACAAAAACACAATGCCATCAATAGGTTTCTTGGGGGCTTAGCTTTCCCTGCAGCAGCCTGACACTCCATGAAATGCAGCGGAGACCGGGTGCGCTCCTGAGCTGCTGCCTGCTCAGGATGGCATTGAAAACACGAGGCTGCGCGTGGCTACCTGGACCGGTCTGCAGACCAGGATTTAAGGCCACGCACTTTGTTCCTGGCTTGCAACGACTGCCACAAATACCTCGCAGGACAGGCCACCACAGCTCAACCTGCACAGGGGGATTCGCTAAGTCAGGAGCATGTCTAAGGCCCCACAGCTGGTTAAAACGTCTGGGTATGATGAATTTGGTAGCTTGCCTCCCAGCCCAGAAGTAAATGACAATTTCAGAGCATATTTCATGGTTTCTAAAGGAGCTTTGGGGCCACAGCCCCTTACAGCTGCAGTACCTAGGGAAAGCAGCACCCTTTCTGAATGCTCTTCTGCCATGAAACCAGACCAAGGTCACTGTAAACTGAAAATCTGAAGCTACTGAGATACTGAGCGCTTTCAAAATTTCTACAAAAATCCTAACAGAAGAAAAGCTAGTGAAACTCACTGATATCAGCACGCAAAATTCAGCAACACCATCCACCAGATTCTTGTTATATGACTTACCAAGTAATAGTATCTTGATTAAGATACATAGAACTAAATGTCACAGCAGACTGCGCACAGAGGAAAGCAGATTCCCCATGAGCTGGAGAGGGCAAATGAACACAGCATGGAGAAGGCTCCATTATGCCAGAGCACAAAACCAAGATGTGAAGGGAAGCTATGAACAGGGGCACTGACTACACGGAGGAATTCAGACAAAAGAAAATGTTGTTGCTTTTGCAAGTTTCAGAACAAGTCCTGAACAAACTATGGATTCAGTTTCTTTGTGTGCTCAGGGTTCACGATGTGAAAGAGGCTGCCGAGGTCGGTGACTGGCACACAACAATCCTATTTATTCTTTCCTTAAAAAAAAATAGTTTGAAAGAGTTCATTGATCAATTAACTCCAAAGTCACAAGCTCTGATAAACTTTGTTCATGGTGATTCTATCCAGAATTTTGTGAAATTGCATCACACTAGGCCGTGGTTCATGGGCAGAAAGCTATATAATGATCAAATGTTCCCTGGATGTGTTCAAACCCAATTCCCCAAGAGACGGCAGGAAATTCTGCCTCTTCCCAGTCTATAAAGGCACCTGGCTATCACAGAAACTCACATTTTTGCATTACTTTTTTTCAGGTTATTTTTGTCTTCCCCATCATGCTTCCCCAAATGAGCATCTCCTTCCTTCCAAATACTGTTCTACAGGTTATAGCGTACATGACTTGAAAGTAGATGCATTATTGACAGAAAAGGAACTGCTAAGTTGAGGATATCTTTGGAATCGAGTTCTTGCTCAAGCAGGTAGCATTAGCTACCTTGATACCATCAAGCATTTCTCACTTTAAATTAGGCAAATAATTTAAAAACTACGGACTACTCAACATGATACCACTGTCTTTAACCTTTTTCCACTGGTTTGAATCCCCACGTTACTCCGATTGCCAGTACTGACTCCTGGTGTTGCTTTATGCACTTGGACACCTAAGAATGCATTGCTTGTAGGTTTGCGCTTCCAGACAGCCTTCCTCTTCCAGAAGAACTATCAGCTAGTGCTGGCCTTGATCGCTAGCACCTTTACCTTCCCCCTTACACCAAAACTCACAGCAAACAGGCCCTGAAATAAACGCTTCTGCGGCTCGTGCGGGAACCCGGTCCCCCGGGAGTCACTGCAGCCGCACACTCCTCCTCCCCTGGATTCACGTCAGTTCCTTCCTCTCAGATGTTCCCCCACCTCGAGTGGGTGACTGGCCTTGCCTGGGCTGTCCTACTGCTCTGCAACCGTCTTCCCCAGCTGCCATCTCCTTTTCAACTTCAACAAGATTTCACTTTCATTTGGGTTATGACATATCCTAGGACTGTTTCATAGTGCAGGGAAAACTGACTATAAATTAATAAACTGCTCAGGATATGACCTTGGTTCTGCAAAACATAAACTACTGATTGCTCTGATTATTTTACAGTTATTTTCTCAGCATCAAAGATAATAATGAAGCTTCCCATTGGCAATATTCTGCTAATTTAATAGCTTGGGTCAGTGTGAGGAAGTTGCAGTATTACAAACAGCAATGACAAATGTTATTGAACATTAAACCTCTGTCCTGGCCTGAAACATCTTGGTGGCCTTGCTCAAAGTGCAACATGAGAAAGTAGTATGAAAAAGGGACAGGAAAAAAAAAAAGAAAAATCTCACAGCTTAAAATTGTTTTCAACAACAACACATAATTCCTCCTTGTAGATGATCCACAAAAAGGTTTTCCTAAAACGTAACCCTGTGCCATTTCTCATTCATAGCTCATGCAGGCAGTCGCACAGCGTGTCCTCTCCACCACGCAAGCTTTTCCTTTAACCCACAATTAAACCGTAAGAATATAAGCATCAGAAAATCTGATCTATTCCATTTTTTTGCAGAAATATTGAAGACCCAAATACTTGTAACTAAAGTGATGACACAAGAAAGCTGAATTTTTAAAACCTGAAGTATTACTCATTGAAATTCAATATGTAACACACACACACAAAAAAACTCTGAAAACAGACTGACTATAAATAATTTATTTTAATAGCTGAGCCGTCATTTACCTTTTGTACTAGTTCTCCAGGCACTTTTGCCTTGCCTTGATAACCTGTCTCTTAGGGAACACGAAGCTCTTCCCCTAAGCTCCAAAAGCAGGGCCCTTCCAAGGCAGGGCTTTCTGTCCTCACCTTCGAGTTTCTAAGTGGCTCTGCGGGCTGGCCTGGCAACGCACCAGAGCTCCAGAGCAAAAAGCTCCCCAAGCAAAAAGTAAATAGTTTAAATGCTCTGGGTATTTTCACTTTTCTTTGCCCAACAATGCAGCTCTGTCCTCTGGGAACGAGCGTATGCCAGCCAAACACAGCGCGTCATTCTCCCGCTCGCATTCCTCCGGAGCGCCACCGCCGCGCTCCCCCGGCCTCCCCGGCACGGCGGCCTGGCCGGCGCAGCCTCCGCGCCGCAGGGCGCATGGCGGAGCAGGGCCCGGCAGCGGCCGCGTTCAGCAGAGCGAGCGCAACACGCGCCACGGAGCGACTGCCGTGGCGCAGGAAAACCCCGCGTGGCTACGGGATCCAGCACCACGAACAAACGCAGAGGTAAAACGTGCTAGTGCTCCAACAGCCTACACGTTTATGAACTTTCTTCTAGCTAAGGGAAGAGAACTGCTATGAGATTTGCTATTACTGCTTTACTGTTATGGGGTTCACAAATAAACCACCTTATTATCCGATAAAGCACAAACATTTAGAGGCACAGAGGTTTTATGTAATCTGAGAAGTTGATGCCAGCCACCATACATGATCAGATGTCTTTCCTCTGCACTAAATCCGTACCCTGCACTTTGGCAAATCTTCTACATTCTGTGCTGTTAGGGTCACATTCAGGGCACTTGTTTGAGGGCGACCACTCTGCAGCCTCACTTGAGCCCACACAAGAGTTCACTCTCCTTTGCTGGAAAAGCTCTAGTGATAAGTCCAAAAGACATGGGCTTCTGATAATAAAGATCTTGTCTGATCAGTACACTATCCAAAAAGCAGGCTGGCTACACACACAGGAACCTCCCAACACCAAGATGCCCTTGCCCAAAGAACAGGACAAGCAGCTAGGCAAGCGTCACGACAGCAGCACACCCACCCCCGCGGGCTTCAGCGCGAAGCCGCCCGGGCACTATCAGCGCTCGCTGCAGACCAGTAGTGGGTGGAGAAACCCCGTCGGCCTCTGAGACAGGGGCTGAAGCACACGAAGTCATCGCCGCAGCGTGGCCGTCAGCAGCGCTGGGGAAGCCAAGTTTAGGAACAAGCGCGAGCAGCAGCGACCGATGGGATGGTGGCGCCAGGGCCGTGCGGAGCATTCCCGCCTCCGCGACAGGCCAGCCCGCTCGTGCTGCGGTACCGCCAGCGC